TCTGTCTCCTCCAATTCCTTAAGACTCGGGTAGATTTTCTCACTGTTAGCTTTCTCGGATCGCTCCTCCTGAAGGGAGTCAAGAGCGGCCTGTCCCTGTTCAACTGCCTCACTGCATCTCTTGTCCTCCAGGCAGCCTCTCACTAATCTCCAGATAAAACAGACGCCCGGCTTCAGCGTCCCCTGTTCCCAAGCAAAATCTAGGTCCCTTCCCAATTTTTCCCATGAAGGGACTGAAAGCTGTCCAGTGTTTGCAAACCAGGGTGCTATTATGTCCACCTGCTCTAAAAAATTATCTAGGGTGCTTCGTTTTAGTTTTAAGCCCTTCCAGCGAAGCAACTCACTTAGGGCCACAAAAATTGGGTGCGAGATTGACGTGCCCATATTTAGCACAGCACAAAATTTTTTTACCCCCTTTTCTCTTTATCTACGGAGAAAGGAAAACTTTATCATCACTCTAGTCGAGGTCCGTAGATTTTCCGCCCTCTTCACGGGCCCTTAATTTTATCCCTCTTACCTGGGACTTACCAGTGCACTGCCCTGGCTGCAGAAGGTTCTGAGTCTCTTCAGAGGAGGAATTCCCTGTACCGGCCACCACTTGTCGCGACCGCCTGGACCAGCAAGGAAGATGCAATGCTGAGACTCTTCCTTAAGCAGTTTACTGAAACAATCTTCTGACCCCGGGGAAAGGCCCCCCACAGCTTAAAAGCACTCTTGCCAGCCAACCCCAGAACGCCACGTGGCTAAGGCGGATAGGCTTGCATTTGCTGATGCAAGTTTGAATCTTAGACCAAGCCAAATAAGGAATTGTTTATTTCAGAGAGTGCTCACCCTCGGGATGGTGGAAGGCGGAAACCAGTGCCATCTTCTGGCGCAGAGCATCGAAGCTCTCCACAATACGGTGTACATGTAGAGCACTCATAAATTACAAAAAACAAAAAACCATTTTTCCCACCCCTCAGTACAGGGCTCTGCTGAGGGCTCTCCCAGGTCCTCTGACATCATCATAGCAGTTTCTGCTAAGAGCTGTTTGGAGACTTCTAAGACTTTTTTGTAGAGTGTAATTCTTCATTCTATCCAAATTGAGATGAAATGGTTCATTTTATATGTGCTTATTAAAAATGTTGTCCTGCCAGGCATTAGTGGTGCATACCCTTAAACCAGTGCTTGGGAGGCAGAGGCAGGTGGATCTCAGTGAGTTCAAGGCCAGCCTGGTCTATAAAGCCAGTTCCAGGACAGCCAAAACCGTTAAAACAGAAAAATTCTGTCTTGAAAAACAAACAAAAAAACGTTGTCCCAAGTCGTAGTTATATATTCACTATTTTCTTTTATTCATGAGTTTTGAAGTAAGGTCTTGTTTTGTAGCCCTGACTGACCCTGAGTTCTTACGTACACCGGCCTGGCTTCAAATTATAGCAGTCCTGCTGATTTGTTTCCTAAGTGCTAGGATTATATGCAGGTGCCATGACACCTGGCTTGTACTTTCTATTTATTATATTTATTCATAATTAACCATTTAGCTTTCATATTTTTCTCTTACTTAGTTAAATATTGGCATTGACTTAGAAGGTATGATGAGAAAGCAGTTTAAAAGCTGGGGGTGGAATTCAATGGCAGAGCAGTTGCCTCGTATGTGTGAGCACCTAGGTTAAATTCCCAGTACCACAAAATACTGCAAAAGTTGTTAGAATAAAGACAACTACTTTAGGGTAAATTGTTCCACCATTGGTAAGGATACTGCTTTTAGACACTTGGGCCTCTCTGTTAAGTTCTTACCTGTTATGAACGTGCATGAAAATTCATTTGCTTTCTAGGCCAGCATGATGGACCACTGCCCAGGCAGCATGCTGGACTATTACCAGAGTCTCTCATTTGGGCGTATATTGTCCAGCTGAGTTCTGCTCTACGCACTATTCATACAGCTGGTTTGGCATGTCGAGTAATGGATCCAACAAAGATTCTGATAACTGGCAAAACAAGGTATTAGCATTTTGAATTTTTTGAATCTGGGTTTCTCTCTTTTTTAAAATTTATTTATTTTGAGTGTACAACTGTTTTGCCTATATACATGTATGTGTACCCCTGTGTGCTTGGTGCCCATGGAGGCCAGAAGAAGGTACTGGATTTCCTGGTGTTACAGATGGTTGTGAACACCCCTAGAAATGTTGGCGTGGTATATGGAAATAAAGACAAAGTATCAATTCCACTTTCTTGTATAGAACCATCATTTGTCAATCTGGCCATAAGTCAGTCTCAGATCAACAGACTCTACCTGCAGAGCTGTTCATCTGGGAAGTCTGCAGTTTACACTCTCACCCCACTCTTACCCTTTGGTCTTTCAGGATAGGGTTTCTCTGTGTAACCGTCCTAGCTGTTCTGGAACTGGCTCTCTAGGGCTGGCCTCAAACTCAGAGAGATCCCCCTGCCTCTGCCTCTCAAGTACTGGGGTTAACAAGTTGCTAGATGATTGTTGCTGGTTAGGTCCTAAGAGCTGAGAATAATGAGGCAACAAAGACCTTAACTTCACCTAACTTTTTAGTTGCCATAATTTTTTGAGAGTTGCTTTAAGTAGTGCGGATTATGGGACTGACTACCATAGCTGGACCCTGGGGACGATCATACCTATAGTCTCATTACTTGGGAGGCTAACAGCCTGGGCTATAACATAGAGACCTTGTGCGCATACACCCAGTAAAAACCAACAGCAGAAATGGCCACTGGTGTCCTGCTCCATGTTCTTTCTATTACTTGCCTGTTGGTGGCTCAAGGAAGTTCTAGGCTTTTCTGAGCTTTAGCAAATGCTATGACACTTTTTCTTAGTTTAAAATACCTATTTGGTAAATTCATGAAGACATTTGAGTTAGTGTATGTAAGATGCTTGAAGCAGTGCCAGCTGCATCTTTAGCACTTTTTGGGGAATAAATAGTGTTCTTTCATTGAGTAATTCATAAACAGCGCAGTGTGTTAAGTAAGGTTATAATCCTGACTTTATCGTTACTAACCTTTAGGACTAGAGTCACACCATTTCTTGTCTCTCAGTCTTAGTTTCGTTATCTCTGAAATGGAGATGGAAGTTACGGTCATTAACATTTTAGATCCTTTCCTAATATTGGGAAATGTTAAATATTCATTAGTATATACTAAGAAAAGTATAATAATCTTCCTCAAAATTTTTGGTCCTTACAGGTTGCGAGTAAATTGTGTAGGAGTTTTTGACGTTTTAACATTTGATAACAGTCAAAACAATAATCCTTTGGCGTTAATGGCTCAGTACCAGGTGAGTAAGAATTAGTATGGGTACTTAAAGCTTATTTTGGTTTTAAAGTATTCAGGATTTTAAGTCTAAATTTCAGTTCATTCTTGAGTGGTATCTTAACCACTGTGGTATAATTAGTTCAGTCTTACTGTTGAAACAGACAGAATGAATGACCATTAATGCAAGGAGAGACTCTAGCTGTTTAACGCATTTGTCTCAGTCAGATGAGTAGATTATATTAGATGTTCCTATTTGTTTTACTTTTGAGTACTTTTCCTACTATATTATTTTCAAAGGAGTGACATTAAAATAAAATCTGTCACTTCTTATGTATTACCAGAATTTCATTATTCTCTAAACTCATTGTGTTACTATTGATTCATGTTCCACAGTGTTCTTAGCTATTTTATTGTTTATTTCCTTATTAATATGCTACTGTGTAGAAATACAAGAACCAAGCCCTAGGTCTAGGAGTATGGTTCTGTGGTAGAGTGGTTCTTAGCATACTCCAGGCTCTGTATTTGATCCTCCAGTACTGCAAAAAACAACAGAGACTGTCCCTATGAGGAAGGATTAGGAGTAGGTGCCTCTGTTTTGATTATTGTGTGTAAAGTAACCTGTGTATTTAAAGTAATTCATCTCAGTTTGTCTTGCAGTGGGATTAAAGCTGATTTTAGTTCTTTGCATAAGAAGTCATACTCATTTGTGTTTAGATGCTTGTTAACCTGAGATTTGGTGCAAGGCAGAATGGTTTCATCCCATAAAGAGATACTTTCTGTTGTCCTCCTCTTTTCAACTTTTGTTGTTTTAAAAGAAAGATTTAGTATAAGACAAAATTTCAGAACAAAAAGGAAGGAAATGACAGGGTAAGAAATAGAATCCTATGGCTATTGAACCACAAGCCATGCTGTCTGAGATAGAGTGGCACTTTTGCACACATTGTTTGCATGCCTTTTCAATCTTAATTCCCCTTGGCTGTGCCTGCCTTACCAGGCTGCCTTGGTTGGTAGTGCCATCTGGTAAGCAATGTGGGGAAGAATCCTGGTTCCCATGCATGCACACCTGCAGAAGCAGCTTTCTTCCCTCTAAATGTGGCTTGTCCCTTCACTTTGTGTGGAATGTTATTTCTTAGTGACATTTCTGCTGCTGCTTTATGCTTATTTGTTACGATAAATCTTCCCGCCACCGACTTGAGTTCTGCCCACCATGTGGGTGGCCAAAATAATACACAGAGACTTATATTAGGTACAAATGCTGGTTGGTCAATGACTAGGATTTCTCATCTTCTAGCTCAGTTTTAATTATCATAATCTATGTATTTTATAAGACTTACCTTATTGGGCACCAGTGGCAAGCATCCTGTCTTCCTGGGCTCACATGGTGACTCTGGAGGAAGAGAAAGGGGGGCCCACTTCCTTCTTGCTCTTGTTTATTTATGAGTCTCCCTGCTATGTTACTTCCTGCCTGGATCACCACTTCTTTACTACATTACCCAGAATCCTTCTTGACCCCGGTTGGTGGCTCAAGGAAGTTCTAGGCTTTTCTGAGCTTTAGCAAATGCTATGACACTTTTTCTTAGTTTAAAATACCTATTTGGTAAATTCATGAAGACATTTGAGTTAGTGTATGTAAGATGCTTGAAGCAGTGCCAGCTGCATCTTTAGCACTTTTTGGGGAATAAATAGTGTTCTTTCATTGAGTAATTCATAAACAGCGCAGTGTGTTAAGTAAGGTTATAATCCTGACTTTATCGTTACTAACCTTTAGGACTAGAGTCACACCATTTCTTGTCTCTCAGTCTTAGTTTCGTTATCTCTGAAATGGAGATGGAAGTTACGGTCATTAACATTTTAGATCCTTACCTGAAAATGTGAAATGTTAAATATTCATTAGTATATACTAAGAAAAGTATAATAATCTTCCTCAAAATTTTTGGTCCTTACAGGTTGCGAGTAAATTGTGTAGGAGTTTTTGACGTTTTAACATTTGATAACAGTCAAAACAATAATCCTTTGGCGTTAATGGCTCAGTACCAGGTGAGTAAGAATTAGTATGGGTACTTAAAGCTTATTTTGGTTTTAAAGTATTCAGGATTTTAAGTCTAAATTTCAGTTCATTCTTGAGTGGTATCTTAACCACTGTGGTATAATTAGTTCAGTCTTACTGTTGAAACAGACAGAATGAATGACCATTAATGCAAGGAGAGACTCTAGCTGTTTAACGCATTTGTCTCAGTCAGATGAGTAGATTATATTAGATGTTCCTATTTGTTTTACTTTTGAGTACTTTTCCTACTATATTATTTTCAAAGGAGTGACATTAAAATAAAATCTGTCACTTCTTATGTATTACCAGAATTTCATTATTCTCTAAACTCATTGTGTTACTATTGATTCATGTTCCACAGTGTTCTTAGCTATTTTATTGTTTATTTCCTTATTAATATGCTACTGTGTAGAAATACAAGAACCAAGCCCTAGGTCTAGGAGTATGGTTCTGTGGTAGAGTGGTTCTTAGCATACTCCAGGCTCTGTATTTGATCCTCCAGTACTGCAAAAAACAACAGAGACTGTCCCTATGAGGAAGGATTAGGAGTAGGTGCCTCTGTTTTGATTATTGTGTGTAAAGTAACCTGTGTATTTAAAGTAATTCATCTCAGTTTGTCTTGCAGTGGGATTAAAGCTGATTTTAGTTCTTTGCATAAGAAGTCATACTCATTTGTGTTTAGATGCTTGTTAACCTGAGATTTGGTGCAAGGCAGAATGGTTTCATCCCATAAAGAGATACTTTCTGTTGTCCTCCTCTTTTCAACTTTTGTTGTTTTAAAAGAAAGATTTAGTATAAGACAAAATTTCAGAACAAAAAGGAAGGAAATGACAGGGTAAGAAATAGAATCCTATGGCTATTGAACCACAAGCCATGCTGTCTGAGATAGAGTGGCACTTTTGCACACATTGTTTGCATGCCTTTTCAATCTTAATTCCCCTTGGCTGTGCCTGCCTTACCAGGCTGCCTTGGTTGGTAGTGCCATCTGGTAAGCAATGTGGGGAAGAATCCTGGTTCCCATGCATGCACACCTGCAGAAGCAGCTTTCTTCCCTCTAAATGTGGCTTGTCCCTTCACTTTGTGTGGAATGTTATTTCTTAGTGACATTTCTGCTGCTGCTTTATGCTTATTTGTTACGATAAATCTTCCCGCCACCGACTTGAGTTCTGCCCACCATGTGGGTGGCCAAAATAATACACAGAGACTTATATTAGGTACAAATGCTGGTTGGTCAATGACTAGGATTTCTCATCTTCTAGCTCAGTTTTAATTATCATAATCTATGTATTTTATAAGACTTACCTTATTGGGCACCAGTGGCAAGCATCCTGTCTTCCTGGGCTCACATGGTGACTCTGGAGGAAGAGAAAAGGGGGCCCACTTCCTCCTTGCTCTTGTTTATGTATGAGTCTCCCTGCTATGTTACTTCCTGCCTGGATCACCACTTCTTTACTACATTACCCAGAATCCTTCTTGACCCCGAGTCCCGCCTAACTTGCTGCCTCATTGGCCAAACAGTACTTTATCATCCAATAAGACAAACACATACACAGAAGCACTTCCTCCATCACTTATTAGTAATTAATTGGCCTAAATTTTTTTCCATCCAAAAGTGACTGATGAGCTAGGTATGGGTGGTTCATGCCTCTGGTAGTAGCACTAAAGAGGAGGTTGGAGGTAAGGCAGTGTGTTTGAGGTGAGCATAAGCTATCTTACAAGGTAGCCAAAGTATGACTGAGTGTTACTAAATACTAGTAATCTGCATATGTCAAAGAAAGTTAAACCACTATACTTTGGGATAATAATTAGAGCCAGTACTGTAACCAGGAACCTAGAAACCTGGTACACATTAAAAAAATGAAGCTCACGCCTTAGAGTTAACACTGTTCTGTTTTGAATAGAATTGGTTTTTTAAAATTAGTATTTGACTAAGGAGTCATGCACAAAGCTCTGGGTTTAATCTCCAGCACCAAAAAAATCACTTACAAATATAAAATAAGACAAGTTTGAATTTTCTTTTCCCAGTCACTTTTTTTTTTTTTTGCAAATGGATACTATTTCAATTATTGTGTAAAACCTTATAAAATAAGGCTCTTTAAAAAGGAAGTGCTGCTTTGAATTACAGATGACCAACTATTTTACAAGCTTGGGCAGGCATTTTGTAAGTCAGAAACTGCTTTCATTTATAAACACTGTCAACTTTCAACCAGTTGTCACTTTATTTTTCAGTAAAATGGATATATCGACTTTCCATTTTTTTGATGTATATATGTGGATAGATGGATAGATACATAGATTGATTGATTACTATAGTGAGGCATAGGAAATGTTTAAAAATGGTCCCAAAGGGGGAAGTGTATTGATGGGAGAGGGCTCAGGAGAGAGGAGTATATTGTTTCTTGTAGTCTATTTCTCATAGTCTGTTTCAGCCTCATGACTAGAGACTGACTTTCAGTAAAGTGGACATAAGTAGAGCCATAGATAGAATCAGAGAAAGAAACAAGAACCCAAGAATCAGGAAGAAACTGAAAATAAGTTGGGGGAAACCTGAATTCAACAAATGGGGGGGAAATACCTGTTGGAGGTAAGAAGCAAAATAGCAATTGGAAAATTATTTAGGAGGAAAATTATTTAGGAGGAAAAAAAGGAGTTTGAGTTTATAATGCTACAATTTCTTAATTAATGAAGACTTATTAAAAAGTTCTTTGTAATCTAAAGTGGATTATATCCTGTGTGTATTCTGAAAGGGTGTTTTCATCGTGAGTCAGTTTTAGAGAGGGAGAACATTCAGCATAGACTTTGTTTCTTTAGACCCAGGTAGTTCTCTGGCTGCCTCAGGCCAAGGGAGTCATCATACCAGGGTAGTGCCACACTGAGACTTGTACTGTTTCATAGGCTGAGAGGCTGTCTGTTGGCACAGGCTGCTGACACACTTCATACATTTGATTGAAACCATGTAGAAATGCCCAATACTCCTTATTGTTCAAAGCCAGAGTTTCTAATTTTATCAACATCCCTTAGGAGGTTTTACTTATTTTTAAGGTGACTGAAAGAACTCCTGGTCATTCAAAGCACCCCTGCCAGATAGCAATGACAGTAACCCCCATCCCATGCTGCTGCCTGGGCCCCTAACTATGGCATGAATCCCAGGCTTCTTCCAGCTAACTCAAAATGCTTTGTAAATTTAGTCAGTTTTTCTGATTATAGAAGTTCATGTGTAATATGTCATGCCCACAGTAGTAGTTTTGAATAAGATGTTGAGTTTTAACAGTTAAGTGTTTTAGGTAATGGAGTTTGGCTTAAGTTCTACTTGGGTAAAATGTTAGGGATAGCCATCTGGTGCTATAGTTCACTGTTTTCCCAGACACACTCATTTCTTTTTTCTTGAAGCCCACTAGGGACATTATCAGTAGGGACTTTGAGAGATGCCAAAGGCATCATTTTTGTTTGGTTTAAGCTTCTTGGGTGCTTTTTAGCTACTGATTAGATTAAAAAACTCCTATAATAAGCTAATGCTCGGGAGATGAACACGCATGCATTAAGTGAGATGCTATCTTAGATTTTAAGCATTTATAGAGACCCTCCCTCAATTAAAATTTACTTCAATGTGCCCATGCTTAGAGCAACTAGTCTTCTAGACTAGTGGTAGTTGCCTTTGCAGAGGACTACTGCAGGGGACCATTCTGTTTTATGGGGTTTCAATTAGTGCTCAAATCCTTTTAGAACAGTTGTTCACAACCTGTGGGTCATGACCCCTTTGGGGTCAAACAACCCTTTCACAGTAGTCGAGTTATCAGACATCCTGCATATCATATCATTCACGTTGCATTTCCTAACGGCAGCAAAATTATGCCGGGCAGTGTGGCGCACGCCTTTAAATCCCAGCACTTGGGAGGCACAGGCAGGTGGACATCTTGTGAGTTCTAGGCGAGCCAGGTCTACAGAGTGAGTCCAGGACAGCCAGGGGCTACACAGAGAAACCCTTCCTCCAAAAAAAAAAAAAAAAAAAAATTATGTTTGGTGGTCACCACAACATGAAGAACTGTATTCAAGGGTCACAGCATCAGAAGGTTGAAAGCCACTGTTTTAGAAGGAAAGCTTCAGGGTAGCTCATTTTTAAAACAAGAAATTGGGAAATAATTAAAGAATTCAAGGCATGTTGTTAGTGATCAAAAGTAGTGTTTTAGGAAACAAAGACAAGGTGTCATTGAGGTCCATGCCATTTAATGTTCTATGATATAGATGCTCTGAAGTCACGTGAATGCTTGCTTGTAGTGGGATCTCCTGTCTTCACAACCACATGGCCATCTTGGATTCATGAAATGAAAAATCTGTTTAGTCATAGTGATCTTAGCAGAGCCAGCATGTAATGGCCTTTAATTCTGTGTAACAGGGAAGAATGTCAGCTGTGTTTAAATATCAAAATAAAAATAGAAACTTTGGGGCAAGTGAGATGGCTCAGCAGGTAAAGACAGTTACCACGTAAGCCAGATATATAGATAGATGCCCTGAGTGGATCCCTGGAGCCAGTGTAAAAGTGGGAAGAGAAAACTGACTTCCGGAGTTTCTTGGCACCCCCTTCCCCCAATGGTCACAAAAGCTTTTTAAAGCAGTAGTCCCATAATTGGAACAAGAATTGCTTATAGTGGTGTTTGTTAAAAGTGTAGTCCTAGAAACAATTTGATGTGTCTTGGTTGCTGTAAACATTTTGGACCTATTCATTAAATGAGACTGAAAGAGAGGCTCAGAAATTAGTGCCCTGTAGTGGTGGCACACGCCTTTAATCCCAGCACTCAAAAGGCAGAGGCAGCCAGATCTCTGTGAGTTCAAGACCAGCCTGAGTTCCAGAACAACCAAAGCTACTGAAAACCCTGTTTTGAAAAACTAAAAAATTTTTAAAAAGAAAGAAATCCTTTTCAAATAGGTCATAGTGATTCTAACAGGTAACCATGCTGAGAAAACCTTCCCTAAGCCCTCCGTTCTGTGTTTACAATGTACTTTCCTGTTGGGTGATGTGTTTGGTATGTTAAAGGTGTATCTGTGAAGTAGAAATTAAGTTATGTTTATTCTCTCATGTCAGCAAGCAGATCTGATATCATTAGGAAAAGTTGTGTTGGCTTTGGCTTGCAACTCTTTGGCAGGAATTCAACGAGAGAATTTACAGAAAGCCATGGAATTGGTGACAATCAACTACTCCTCTGACCTGAAGAACCTCATCTTGTAAGTGTTCCTGTTTCATGAAGCAGTGTGGTCTTCCTCTATGATTAAGATAGAGCTTTCCATAGGAGCCTCCCACTGTTTTAAAGTCAAGCAGGCACAAGCAGCTGCTGATATACTAATCTTTATTGCTGAGTATATGTTTCTTACAATGAATTCATCAACAGTTTGTTTCAGTTAGCCACTTGATCAGAGAGTACCCTTTAGAGTTGTACCAACACATACTAGCTACTAACTCTTGGGTTGCACTAGTCATATTTCAGGAGCCCCAGCCATGTATGTAGTTCCAAGCTAAGTCATGGATACCACAGACCGAACATTTCTGCCATCTCTTGAGTTCCCTTGGCCAGTGTTGCTTTATACAGTGAGGGACACTATAATGGCAGCCTCCTTCAGTGCACCCTCCTTTACTGTGGTCCATTTGTGTATATGAGCCTCTGGTCCAGGCATGGAAAGCAAAGAACAGAGGAATCCTGGAAATCTTTTGAGTATAAGGTCAGAATGGATTTGACTTAAGAGAAATCCACTGAAGGATCCCTTACTATCTCAGATACACCAGCTAGAAAGACTGTCAGAGGGCAGACCACCTTTATTACAGCTATGAGTTTATTCTAGGGGGAAAAGATGCTAGGACAACTCTAATTTTCCCTATTATGTTCTAGAAGCCATTAGAATTTATTGATCCTAATCAATAGTCTCTTTTAGCTTCCAGTGATCCCTTCTGCTCTTTCTGTGTAGCCCTGGATGATCCAGTTTCTTTTTGGACCAGCCCTGGGGTATGGAACCTGGGGGATGGAGGATGGGGCTGCCCACCTGTTCTTTGTTAAACTGGCTTCCCTGTCTTGCTTGTGAGACACTAGAAGCCAGTGCTTGCCTGGGACCTAGAAATAATAATCAATTAAGATGATACAACTTTTAGAAAAAAGGGTTTTGTGTATGATTCTAGCCTTAGTTTGCAACATCCAGATTGTTCTAGACAATTGCAGGCTATAAACTCTAAATATTCCATTTTGAAAAGGAGCTGAGGATGGTAATTAAATTCACTTTATATTAATAATTATTGAAAGTGGATAATGATACACGAGGCTTCATATACTATTCTTTTTAAGTACTTGAAAAAAATAAGTGAAAACCCACTATGGATAATAAACTAACACTGTGTATAGAGCTACCCAAGGCACTTCTGAGCTACTTAACATGACTTAACACTTGATTCTCTAATCTCTGTAAATGGGTGTCAATATTAGCCCCATTTTAAAGACAAAACTGGGGCACACTAAGTTAAAGTACCTTGTCAGGGTGTCACATAGGTTTCAGTATGATTAGGCAAATGTAAATATCAGTGGTTACAGTGGTTAACTGAGATAATTTGTGTGGTTATAATCATTCAACTACTTATCAAAAGAATGCTTACTGCATGCCAAAATCTGAGGGTACTTTAGTAAGATTAGCATAATTTCCATCCATCATCTAGATACTTGCAAAAGACATTTAAGGGGCTGGAGAGATGGCTCACCAGTTTAGAGTGCACACTGCCCTTGCAGAGCACGTGGGGAGTTAAGTTCTAAGCACCCATATCCAGCAGCTCAAAACTGCCCACAACCACAGCAGCTCCAGGGATGAAGTAAATCCCTCTTGTGGCCTCCATTGTGCATCTGCACTCAGGTATCCTACCTCACCACCACTCATATACACAAAGTTTTTAAAATGATGTTAAAGATAAAAACAAGTGAGCTTGTTTGCAGGCAGTGATAAGACCTATAAAGACAGTTTCCTGAAGCATAGTTGCAAGGAAGTGAGAGAAGGGCTTACCTTTGAGTAAGTAGCAGTCAAGTGATTGACCGTCACTGTGTTTGCAGGCAGCTCTTGGAAGAACATTACTTTCTCCCTCAGTGATGATAGAAAAAGTGAATTGGTCCCTTCTGCTGTCTTAATCTCTAGAGATTTCCCAGAAGTGACAGGTGGCACATGAAGTCATGGAGCAGAGGACAGTTTCTTTTGGGCTAACTCATTTTTGTACAATTTATTTTTGGTTAGGTGTGGTGGTATGTGCCTGTGCCTGTGTTGAAAGATTATGAGGCAGGATACTCACTTGAACCCAAGAGTTTAAAGCTTGCTTGGGCAACATAACAAGACCCTATTGCAAAAATAGCAGCAGGTTATCTTTGAAGAACAGGAGGGAAAACTCCCCATCCCTCTCAGCCTTCCAGTGTTTCACACCCTCAGACTTCTTCACAGTCATTTCATGTAGAACTATTGAAACAAAGGGCTTAAAGATGGAAATGGGTAAGTGTGGTCCTCTTCTGCTTAACCTTTTCACATCTGTAACAGTGGACACACAAAGGAGACACGTCTGGACTGTTAAGATGTTCCAGGGAAGAGAAGTAATACTGAAGTTTCGGAACAAAATTAATTTGCATGAAAACTATGTTTTCAAATTTGAGCACATTATAGTGACAGCAGCATCTGTGTGCCTATAACTGTGTAGTCCCAGCCCTGGCCATTCACAGGATTCTTTTCTGCCTTGATAGGTACTTGTTGACTGACCAAAACAGGATGCGGAGTGTGAATGACATCATGCCTATGATTGGTGCTCGGTTTTATACTCAGCTGGATGCTGCTCAAATGAGAAACGATGTCATCGAGGAGGACCTTGCTAAGGTAGAGACTCTGGTATGAGTTACTGTGTAAATTGGCATACAGTACTCACTGTCAGCTGGCTGGGACTGCAATGCTCTTGTCCACATTGGGTGTTAGTTTAGTCTCTAATATCCTATTCATTCATAACTTTGCTATAACCATGTACCTCAAATCTTGGTTTTATTTAATGTATTTTAAATACTTCCTAGAATTGATCAGTTGCATAATTTCCTTGAGTATGACTATGCACAAAAAGGCTGTGTTTAAGAAAAGAACCAAAAGCGTGGGTGTTAGGATTTACTGTGTAAGAATAATATGGGTGCAGAGTACCATTTTTAAAACTTGCTTATATTCAGCTGGAACATTAACATTTTTTCTCTTTTTAAAATGTTTTGTAGGAGGTTCAAAATGGAAGACTGTTTAGGCTTCTAGCAAAATTGGGAACAATCAACGAGAGGCCGGAGTAAGGGTTTACATATTTACAGCATGCTTAAAAACCAAGGCAACTAATTGTATAAGGAATGAGTGGACTACCTTCCTAATGTTTTTATTTGGAAAAGGGGCTGAAGTTTTTAATGAAGTGATCTTAAAACTGCTAGCCATTAAGGAGCTGTTTCGGCTGGGCAGTGGTGGCACACACCTTTAATTCCAACACTCGGGAGGCAGAGGCAGGTGGATCTCTGTGAGTTCCAGGCCAGCCTGGTCTGCTGAGCCAATTGCAGGACAGCCTCCAAAGCTACAGAGAAACCCTGTCTCGAAAAACCAGAAAAGAAAAAAAAAAAGAAATCTCTTGGTTGTAGCATGTCTCTTCTTTTCTATGAAAATGCTTTTTTTTTTGGTCCGGTTTTTTGAGACAGGGTTTCTCTGTGTAGCTTTGGAGTTTATCCTGGCACTCACTCTGGAGCCCAGGCTGGCCTCGAACTCCCGAGAGATCTGCCTGCCTCTGCCTCCCGAGTGCTGGGATTAAAGGAGTGTGCCACCAACGCCCGGCTGAAAATGCATTTTTATAGATGTCATGATGATAATAGAATGACATCATCATTTCATGTTGTCCCAGTTGGATCTTGCTTTTAAGTTAGAGTTGTCAGACACAGAGTTGGTGTCTGTGCTTTGTTAGGCAGGCTGGACAGAGTTGCATTTGTGACTGCAGTGTAAGTTGTACCTCAAGATTGTCTCAGTTCTCAGCAGTAGATGACAGGTGCACACCACTGCTTGTGGGGATTTCTTTTTCCCATGGAAAAACCTACTTACCAGGGTTTTTTTTTTTTTTCTTTTCTTTCTTTTTTTAAGATTTATTTTTATTTTACATAAACATGTATTTTGCCTTCATGTATATCATACACCACAATGTGTGCCTGGTGTGTGAGGAGGCAGAATATGGCATCAGATCCCCTGGACAGTTGTAAGTCTGAGAATCAGACAGATCCTGTGTAGGAGCAGCCAGTGCTTTTAGCCACTGAGCCACCCATCCAACACTACTTGTCTGATTTTAAAATTAAGATGCTCAGTTAGGATTTGTTTTTGTTTTTGTTTTTCGAGACAGGGTTTCTCTGTGTAGCTTTGGAACCTATCCTGGCACTCGCTCTGGAGACCAGGGTTGGCCTCGAACTCTCAGAGATCCACCTGCCTCTGCCTCCCGAGTGCTGGTGTGCTCCACCAACGCCTGACCTCAGTTAGGATTATCTCTAATCTTCCTAAGAAAGAGGATGTATGTTAACTAGTTCTTGACTCCCTGTTGTAGCACTTTCATTTATTTACCTCCGTACTTCAAAACATGTGGTTCTTCTGTTCTGTGACTTTTTCTGTTTTTAATTTACCTGGTGACCCATCCTCTTCAACATAGCACTCTCACTGTCCTAATGGGGATGCCCAAGTTCTGTGTTCTTGGGGTTGGCATTGCTGTGAAGAATACATGCTGTTCTCAGCAAAGCAAAAAGTGAAGCATAATTATAGTTCTTGTTTCTGTATTTTTCTTAGTTATGTTTTCTTGGAGTTGATAAGCAAATAATTTTCTTCAGTACTTCACAGTCAGCTCTGTCAGAGTTATGAAATCCTTTGAAAAATAGGTGGTAGCCTAGCAGTTCCTTTTCTTACCTTCTATTCTCATCCGGGCTGGTTATACCTCTCAATTGCCATATGACACTTTAGCCTGGCACATCTTCTCTCTGTTCTGGGGAAGTCTTTATTTTTGTTTTTGGAGTTTTGTCACTTCTTACTGTATTAATGTTGGAAATCTTTCTGCTCATCTCTGTTTGGAATTAAACAGAATCCTACATGATATATAAGTCTGACCTGCTTCTTTCTCTACCGCCCTTGTGATGGAGGCATTGTTCCTGTTTAAGAGAACTGGAGCTGGGTGGTGGTGATGCATAGCTTTAATCCCAGAACTCTGAGGCAGAGGCAGTTGGATCTTTGTGAGTTCAAGGCCAGCCTGGTCCACAAGACAAGCTTCAGGGTAGCCAGGGCTACACAGAGAAACTCTGCCTGGAAAAGCAAGCAAACAAACAAATAAGAGCAAGAGAGAACTGGAGACAGACAGGTTAGTTGCCTAGTCATGTACTGTGGATGCCATGGACCAACCACATCTGTGCAGACAGGCCCCCACCAGATCTATGTCCTGTGCATTGTGCTGCCCTTTGCACCATGTTATCTTCAGTGTGCTGCAGGGATGCTTAGTCAACATGGAGTGATAGTGGAGTCTCTAGATGTCAAGTGTTGTAGGATAGTTAGGTGTTGTTCTAGAGAAGGCCTGACAACCCTTTCCTTAAAACTTTAAACTTGGAATTTGTCAGCTTGATGGGTAAGAAGTTGAGTTTCAGTGCTGTTTTGCTTAGGACTTACTCTTTAAGGAGCCTTTCTGAGGATCTTTTATGTCTCTGATGAATCTTTATTGTGCTGTCTGATCTTTGCCTGTTATAGGTTGCCTGTTTGCGAGCTAATCGTCTCTGACTCTGCCTAGGCTTTTCCTCTGTAGATGTTTATATATGTGTGGCCATATTGATTTCCATGTTGATTGAGTTTGGGCTAAAAACAATATTTTATACTTTGAAATGAGTGAATGAGCTCATTCTTTCTTCTAGAATGCTTCTGACTTTTTTTTCCCAGTCTCTTTCCTCCCCTAACCGCAACTAGGCCCACTGGCCTTTCTTGGTTTGCTTACTGCTGTCTTGTTCCTGCTGACTGTAGAGAATGCTTTGCTTGGGGCCAGCACCCCCAGCTTCCTCCTTCCAGGAAAGGTACCCCACTTCTCCTAGCACTATGTAGTTGGGCAGTCCTTGCTTCCTCTACTTAAAAAAATGACATGTTTCCTACTAGACTGTAGATTCCTTGGGTCACTGAAAACTATAAGGGGTCTCTGGTTCTCCAGTTCATCACAGTTAACTTTTTGGTGAAGTGTGAAGAACAGGAAGCTACCTTGTCTTTTTTTCTGAACATTCACATTTTTTCTTCCTTGGTAAAGTGGAAACTTACCTGACATTTTTTTTGTAACGTAGAGAATGGATGGAGGGAAGGAGATGTTTAAAGACAATTTTTTCCTTTTTATCTAATTGTAAAGATTGCATAGTATGTAAGAGATAATGGGTCTTGTGAATTGAATGTTGAGAAGTGTGATTTATGTATTTTGTGTTGATTGAGGTTGGGTTTTTGTTGTTGTTGTTGTTCATTTTATTTTAAACACTTTACAGAACCTAATTTCTTATTTACTGGAGAAAATTGGGTTCATCTTGAGTCTTAAAAAAATGGCCATGTGCATGTTAGAGTGAGTTACTGAGATCAAATATTAATTCCCCAGGTTTCAGAAGGATCCAACTTGGTCAGAGACTGGAGATCGTTATCTGTTGAAACTCTTTAGGGATCATCTTTTTCATCAGGTCACAGAAGCAGGTGCTCCCTGGATTGACCTCAGTCACATCATTTCCTGTCTTAACAAGGTAATTTGTAAGGAAACCCAGTAGTTTTTAATAGTTACATCAGTTTTTTGTTTTAGCATGTGCGCATGTACCCATGTACACACACACAGGGTCAGAGAACACTTTGGAGCTCGTTCTCTCCTTTCTGAAGGTGTGTCAGGCTTGATGGTGAGCACATTTACAATCACTGAACATCTCATCTACCTTGTAAGATCTCAAGAGCAGTTATTACAACTTGGTAGAGACTGAAGAAAACAGGACTTATACCTGCTGTACTCTGAGGGATTTAAGACAGGACATTTTCTAAAGTGGGCTTTTTTTGGCTGGGCATGGCAGCTCACACCTTTAATCCCAACACTCAAGAAGCAAAAACAGGAACATTTAGAGCAGGGGTTCTCAACCTTCTTAAAGCTGACTCTTAGTATAGTTCCTCATGTTGTGGTGACCCCCGACCATAAAATTATTTTCATTGCTACTTCATAACTGTAATTTTCATACTTTTAAGAATCATTGTGTAAGTATCTGGTATGTGAACCCTTTGAAAAGGCCAATCAACTCCGTCTGACCCCCCCACGACATGCACCATGCCACACACACATGGGAGGAGGTGTGTTTGGCAGTAAATCATAGTCTTTGTATAAGCTTATGGTTAAATCAGGTGCTGACAAAACAATGGTCAGGAACCAAATCCCTTCCATGGCCTTTTTTTCTTTTTTGCTTTTCTTTCTTTTTTAAATAACTTGCAAACTGACAGTAGTTTATTTTTTTTTAAAAAAGTAGAAAGAGAAAAAAGATTAAGCAAAGATATGCATGTGTATGAATTACCTAAAGTATATGTGTCTCTCTCCCTCGAGTCTGTGAAAATACTGCCTTGACCTCCCTATCCCTACATTTGCAGTAACAGGAAAATGTCCAGTAGGTAAACCATGCATGGTCAGATATAATTTCCAGGTGGTAGCCCTGCAGGGAAGGCTGTGCTGCTAAGTGCTGCTTTGCCCTTGTTTGAGTTTCTGTAGGACTTTCTGAGAGTGCTGTCCACAGCACAGTGCTGTCTGCCACTGGTCTAGTTCATGGTGGCTCACATCCTCATAGAGGGAGGTCATTTTGGGGTGCAGGAAATAGAACATATTCTAACAGATGTAGTAACCTAGTATTGCTGATGTCAGCACACAGTAGTTAGAACTGTGTTAGAGTGTATAGATACAGTGATATATATGTACTAAGCTATATTGTAAAATAGTAAATAAAACTTACTCCAAATCTGGAATGTCTATTTTCCAAGTTTGAAGAATACAGTAAAAAGACTGTGTTGATTAAAATCTAAGATTCTTTGAAAGGTCATTTTTATGGGACTGATGACAAAAATTGTTGGAAAAACATTTTGAAAGCCTTAAGCTTTAAACCTGTTTTATTGAATTAGGTAGTGGGACACTGAAGGAAAAAACTAAAACTCCAATGGGAACTGTATCCTAAGTGCTGCTGCCAAACCCCAGTAGCTGGAATAGGTTGACAGATTTAAAAAAAAAAAAGTGGTGTTCAAGGAGGAAGCTACAGAAACACATAGATGGGAAACATTTTAAAAATTAAAATGGCAAAATAGGAAGTTTGACATGTACTACTGTTAGATTGTTACAACTCATTGGTGACATCTAACTGATACTCTTTAGGGTACAATTTGGCTATGGATACAATAGTATCCTTAAGTATTTCCCCTATAGAATATATACTTAATCCTTTCTGTTTTGAGCTGGTATTCATAATATACAAAATGGAAACTATTGGGTGAATAATTAAAGAGTGCCCAGTTAACAGAAGATAGTAACTGAACACATTTTAAACACTAAGGCAGACAGAAGAAACATGGCAGTGTTTCTTTGGACAAAACAGCTTTTGAGTTAAAATTTTATGCATTTTTGACCTTCGGTACTATAAGCTGTTTATAGAAATCTGAAAGGGACTGTGACAGAAATATTTTAAGTATTTCATTTGTCATTGTTGAAAATGTCCTAAAATAGATTAAATCAGCTCTCTTCCTCAATATGAACTGCATATTTTTTATACCTTGCTTCTTTCAGTTAGACGCTGGTGTGCCAGAAAAAATAAGCCTGATTTCCAGGGATGAGAAGAGCGTGCTGGTGGTGACGTACAGTGACCTAAAACGCTGCTTTGAAAATACCTTTCAAGAACTGATTGCAGCTGCAAATGGTCAGTTGTAGTATTTGTTAAAAATGTCCACAGGCATGGTGAAAGACCGAGCCTATAGCCAGTTGCACTACGGTGAACTGTCCTCCGCCTCCTGCCACCAGGGGAATGAGCAGGAAGGAGTGAAGCGTCCTGCACTTGGGTCAGGTGCACTGTTACTTGAGGAAGAATGTCTCACTTTCTACACACTCTGGCTGCCACAGGCCTCTGTGAAGAAGTTTTGTCAGATTAAGGTCACCGTATGGTGAAAGATGCTCCTGTTTTTCCACTTGTGTATGCACTTACTTCAATTTTTTTAAAAGACTTTTTCTGATCTTTGACCTCTTGCCACATTGTATGCTTATTATGAGAACTATTTGCAAGGACATTGGGAAAGAAAAAGAGGCCACTTTTTGACATTGAGAGATGCAGAATTTGCTTTTGGGGGATGGGCCAGGTCAGTAGTTCATAGAAGTACAGTGTAGTGCATGGTCCTTAAGAGTATTGTATGTAAGCTCTGTGTGCCACCTACCATTAGCTCAAATTGAAGCTTATGTTGTGTTTAAGAACACACAAAGAAAAATATCAGTGAGTTGTCAGATATGAATTTTCCCCTATTTGTTGATTTAAATCCTTTTCCAGGTAACGATCGGAACAGTAGCTGAAGGAGCAGGCCCTGCTGTTCTCCAGGTTCATCCGGAGCCTTCTTCAAAGAGCCTGCCAGTCAGATACACTTAACATTGATGCAATTTTTAATAGCAAAAATGAAATTGTGTTGAAGGCCTAAAGTTGAGGAGTTATATTACTTTAGGGTCTTTCCATTTGCTTTTTTTTTTTTTTCTTTTTTTTTTTTTTTTCTTTTTTGTCTTTGAACTACAGCTTTATAATGGTACTTTACACTGGATACAGACTCAGACGCTGTTGAGAAGGTGAATTGAGCACAGCAGTGGTCTAATGCTTTGCCGTCTTGACTCCAGAGGGACACCTCTCTGCTGTGCCTTTGCACTCACTGCTTAACCCAAAGTAACAGGCCTTGTGATGAAACTCACTCTGCAGGATCATCCCGAGAAGCAGTGTTCCTCCTCGGAACTTTCTTACTATTTGGACATACACTTGTCGCCAAACTCGAGTATTCATGGGATTGTGGTCACTTCAGTACTGAAGACTGCCAAATACATAGGGATTTTCTCCTAAGGCCACCATGAAGACTTCATTCCTTCCCAGCGCTGAGTGGTCAGTTTGCGCTGGGTGTGCACCACATGACTAGGAAGAAAATGTGGAGCCTCAGAAGGTCAAGACAGACACCCAAGCACTTGCAGCTGATGTTACTGTCTTCATTTTTAACAAGCATACGTATTTGTATATTTCAGAGAAGTTTTTAACATTTCTCTGCCCACTTTTTATAAGCTTTAAAATGATTTCTCTCTGCCTTGAGATTTGCATCAAGAAAAAGCACCTCTTGTCACCTAGGGACACACTTCACATGTTGAACAAGCACGCCTGCATCCACGAGTGGTAGCATCAGTTGTTAACGAGAAAATCAATTACTGCTTTTGATCTGGATGGATTTTAAAAGAACATAATGTTCAATATTCAAAGGATAATGAACATTTGCCACCATGATGTTCCTTTTGTTTAAAAGGACCTTTTATTGAAAAGGAACAAGAACTTTCGATGTAACACACAGAAGTCTCTATCATTAGCTCATGTATTTGAGGAAGAGCAGCTGTCTTTTTATATGTTTTTTGACAAATCATATTGTAATTCTTTTGTACAAAAAAGAACTACTTGTATTCTAGAAGAAATATGAAATGCTTACTTTATAAGCGGGCTGGAGATTTTCCAATATTGTTTTCTTTGAAAATGAAAGGGGATCATCTATTTTAGTTCAGGGGCCTGGGAACTTTCTGAAAATTTCATTTGTGGACCAATGTTATGTGAATGCTAAAGAAGGGCAGGGGTAAATTAGGGCTTGAATCTCTCGTTCTGCATAGACCAGCAAACTTCCCCTCTGCAAGGCAGGTTCACATCACACACCTAAGAGTGTCTGCATCGGAAACGCTAGTTTGCTTCAGCCCCTAGTAACCTCAGGGCTTGGTTTGGGTATTAAAGGTAGTCAGCTGAACGTTTTCATGAGTAAATATTGTCAGCCAGAAAACAGTTGGTGTCAGGTAATGCATATTTTTTTAGCTTTGTTTTATATTTATTTTTCATTTCATTTTTATTGGGAATGGTTTTCAAAAGAACTCTTGAGTTCTGCTTTGGTGTTTTTTTTGTGGGGGGAGGTTTTTTTGTTTTTATTTTTTTGTTTTGAGGTTATTGTTTTTTGGGGGGTTTTTTGTTTGTTTTTTTGGTTTTTTTGTTTTTTTTTTTTTTGTTTTTTTTTTTTTTTAAGGGAGCCCTCTTTTCCACAATGTAAACCCATTTAGGAGGTTGTCTGAAAGTTAATATTTAGTCCATAGGAAGACTTCAATATCTGAGAGTATCAAATTAAGGATGTGAACTTCCCATAACTTCCTGTTATGACAGACAAAGCACGGAAAGGACAACCCTTGAAATCATGTAATGTCGCTCATTTCAGCTGTCTGTGCCTATTTTAAATCCTGTTAGTGTATTTACTTCATTGCAGATACCTTTGAGGGTGCCCTTGTATTTTGCTTTGAACTTGGTTCTGTCATTTGGATATCAACATTGTTCCTAAAAAGCACCAGTATGTTAAGTTCTAACATCACAGTCCCAGTATCTGTTGCTCATCTTTAACCCTATTTTCAGTCTCTATGTGTATAGCAGTATTTTTTAATAAAGAATTGCAGAGATAAACTTGTCTTTGTTCTGTTATTGTTAGTTCATATAGCACAGTAAGTGTTGGTCTTGATTGGGTTTTGAAGATTATTACCTATGTATTTTAAAGCACTCTACTTTTGGGAGAGATGGTGGTTTATCAGTTACTTGTTTATTATGTGGCTCCTGTGTCCTGGGTGTGGGCTTACAGATGTGAGGAATTGCTGAGTATTTAAGAAACTACTTATCTGACAGGATAGGAATGACATGGAGCTAGTCCCATTTAGGGAAGGACTCCAGGGCCTCACAAGAGCTAGCAGTGCACACTTCTACTGGAGCTGCACCTTGTAGCTAAGTGTGTGTCAGTGTCCAGTTTTTCATGTGGAGGAGAGAGACTCTTTGCCAATTTCCCCAAAAACATTCCACAAGTATAAATTGTGCCAAAACGTATTTTATTGGGGGGGGGTTAAGTTAACTCCTATAGGTTTGAAATTTCTGTGATTTGAATAGATGAAACTACAGGATGGAAAAGCAGCCAAGGGGGCTTGAGGCTTAGGATGAGGATGGCCAGTGTTACATTTGGGGAACTCAACAAAAGCAATTGTGCAGTTCTCATTCCATCTCCCTGCAGTCTGACAGCTCTTAGGCTGTGGATTGTTCTTCCACTTCTAATGAAAACCCTCCACATAGACTGCAGAGGCAGAAGGAAAAGGGTTCATTTTTAAACCTATGCCTTTAAATCTTTCTAACAGCAGTGTGACAAGGTGGGTAAGAATCCAGCTGGCTGCATGCAACAAGACCCGGCAGAAGTAATGGAAGTGCTGGCCCCACTGCTGAGCACTTGAAGTCCTCTGTATACTTGGCCAAGCAGCTCACCCCTCAGTGCCACAGTGAAACAAACTGGGGTTCACTCATCAAATATTCATGGACTGTCTACTTAATGTCAGATATAGTTCTCACAGCTAAGCAAAGATATTTCAGTTGGTGCTGGAGAGATGGCTCAGAGTTTAAGAGCACTGACTGCTCTTCCAGAGGTCCTGAGTTCAATTCCCAGCAACCACATGGTGGCTCTCAACCATCCATTATAAGATCTGGTGCCCTCTTGTGGTGTGCAGATATACATGGAAGCAGAATGTTGTATACATAATAAATAAATAAAATCTTTTTTTAAAAAAAAGGTATTTCAGTTGTATTTACACAGAGTTAATTAGTAGGAGTCTTGTAGACATGCTCTAAGACATACAGAAGAGTGAATGCACTCTACTATTTAAAAGACATCATGAGTTTTGGTTGGGTGTGGGGGGAGGCCAGGAACAACTCCCCTTGGATACTGGCAACTGTATGTAGTATTTAGAAGGTAATTATGGTTATGAGAAGAGAACCAGTAATTATCAGATTTAGCAAAGAGTTGAATCTAAATATCAGATAATAGCCTTTAATTTTTAGCATAGGGAACATTAATATCAGAAAAATCTCTGGTCTGTAGTTCTCATTTACCTGGTCATGTTTGCCCCTCTAGAGTGGCACAGTTTCAGAGGGTGGCCTGGGCATAGGTCTCTTGAAGCATAATGCTGAGTGAGGACTTGAAGTGGAGCTGCCCGCCAGCCCGGCAGGGGGAGGAGAGTGTAGGAATGTCGTAGGATACACAGGAGATGAGTGCTTCTAGAGCAGGTTAAGATGAGAACTTGGGGGGGGGGGGCTAGTGAGATGGCTCAGAGGTTAAGAGCACTGACTGCTCTTCCAGAGGTCCTGAGTTCAGTTCCCAGCAACCACATGGTGGCTCACAACCATCTGTTAAAAGATCTGGTGCCACCTTCTGGTGTGTAGATATACATGGAAGCAGAATGTTGTGTACATAATAAATAAATAAAATCTTTAAAAAAATGAGAACTTGGACAGTTTTTAGGAAAGGCAAGTATTCCACCTGCGGACCATTTGTTTTGGCTTTTGCCCCCAGTGAAAGGGCTACAGGACAATTGTGAATGGAAGAGGGGTGTGACACATTTAATTCCAGTGTGAAGGACAGACCAGGAAGGTGCGCAACCTCAATGCTAGAGCAAGATTAGGGAGTTTGTGTGGCTTTCTAAGAGAAAGAAAAATAGGGCTTCTGGCCAGGCTGGCACCGGAGAATGCAAAGTGTTGGATTCTGGTTGTACTTTAAAGGTAGAACCAACATGGAGTAAAGAGAATGAGCTTTGGGATTGCTGAAATTTTTCTGAATTAGAGGGTGTTGACAGGAGGGCGAGGCAGATCTAGAAGTGGGGCAATTAATTAAAAGTTTGGCCCAGGGCCTGAGCATTTTACACATCGTTCAGGTTTATTGTTTTGCACCAAGCAACTTAATGGCATCCATACCCTGTCTCAGATTCTGTGGGTCAGGAATTTGGACAAGATACAGCAGGGATGATATCTAGACTTAGTTTGGAGCTGTAGCCTAGGAGAGTGACAGCAAGAGCTGGCCTATCTGAAAGCAGGGCTCTGCTAAGAATGTGTCTAGGAGCACCTGCCCATGGCCTGGCCCCTGGAAGAGCTGGAGAATGAGTGTACCAAGAGGAAGGCTCCACAGGCCAGGTGTTCTCAATGTGCTCTCAATCTACAGTCCTTTCAGTTTAGTATGGGTTTCTCTGGGTGTACCCTCAAAATAAGTTGAGCATCTGCCTCGATGTATTTTAGATATGCTACCAATTTTTTCGTCTGCAGTTAATCCCCTTCTTCCATTTATTCTACTTTGGTTTTAGGTACTACTGGGGATGGAACTCAAGTGTTCACATATGAGCAGGTAGCCTTCCTACCTTTAAAATGGGCTTTAAATGGGACTACATTGCCAGATGTGGTGGCACTCACCTTTAATCCTAGCACTTGGGAGCCAAAGGCAAGAGGATATTTGTGAGTTCTAGGCCAGCCTGGTCTACATAGTTCAGGCTAGCTAAGCCTACATAGG